GCGATATATGCAGCTTGAAATCGGGACCATAATATTCGAAATAATCGTTGTACGGCAATTCTAAATGAGAAGGTTTATGATCAAGTCAAAAAAATATCAATACCGTTTGGAATGTCGGCGTCAATGGCAACAGAAGTTTCATAAGTCCAGCATCGAGCGACGTTACGGACAGTATACCCACCACCGCCAAGAAGCAACAGTGGCATGTTTTGTCTCTTGATAAAATCCACACATCGGCCATGACCTATTAATAGATAACTGTGACAAATGACAATATCAGATAAACAGATATACCTTTTACGGTCAAATTAAGGCAACCCAGCCTGTCGCCAGTTAATGAATCAGCTCCACACTGCATCACGATGGCACTAGGCTGGAAACTTTCCATAACTTTTGTTACTATCTAAAATTTTCTGCTACATCATGTGAATTCTCAAAAACGGTAACAGTTACAATGCACTAAATAAATGAATTAACATATCTGATTCTTGACCCACTGCGGAAACTGTAGGCTTGCTGAATCATGGTTGAGGGCTCCCGAACAAATTTTGTAAATCATTGTTTCTTACAAGTTCCAATATCCTGGGAAAATAAGAAAAAAGCTACTAATAACCTTGTAACTGTAGGCTGCTGGTATGATAAGTTTGGTTTTGCATATCGAAGTGGGACGAGTAACTCCCACTTTTCGCTTTCTGCTCCAGACACCATCAAGTCAGAAGTAAACAGGCGGATAGCCCTCGCCTGTAATGCTTTTCATAACCTGTCCAATATTTCGGCTTAGAACGGAGTAATGCCTTTCCCAAAAATCTGCCTATGCGTTGCCTCGAGAGGTCATTGCTATTATACAGCATGGAGACATTTGTTCTAAAGAAGAACAAAAAAGGACGGTGGAAATATTTACAGGAATGGTGAGATGATGTATACTGAGGATCATAAGGCATGATCAAGCTACAAATAATTATTCACTTGCAGGTAGAGTAACTTCCGCAGGTATAAAAATTAAGAAATGAAAGCCCTCTGCTAGACAAGCTAGCTGAACATAAACCTATACTCCAGTCCGTGAGCTTCTCAACGGAAATCTAAACACCACAGACTTCGATCAGAAAGCCCCATGCAACATGAAAACTATATTCTTCAAAACAGAAGTATTTCCGCGATTCAGTAAGTGGTGGCTTATAAGAAAAGTGTTAAAAAGCTGCGAATAGAATGGATATTACAAACAGGAAACGCTCTGCTTATGCAGTCAGTTCAATATAATGTTCTTAGCAAGCATATCTTCTTCGGCACCAAATGTTAATTATTCACACCGTCTGCTTCATTCCGGCAACAGAATTCCGCACTGTTCATATTTTCACAGAAGAAATAACCAAACCTCGCTAAATGCAATGTCGTTAGTGCGGCGAAGCTGTCATACAAAATTATTTACGTAAGTACGTTAAAAAGAACTCAATTCACTACATTATTTGGATTCCTGCCTTGCTTGCCATGCAACCCATAGACGCATCAAACGATACGACTCAGAAGACATGATAATTATTTTGAAAAGAAAAGCATTCGATGAAACTCAGTCATAGAAAGTTTAGAAAAGTGCACCACAATACAAAATGTTATGCCCCTAATTGCACTTTTCCATATGCTCGCCAAGCCATCAGAAACGGAATTGCTTATCGGCAATCAATACGCACTGCGTGCAAGCATGTTGATACGCTAAAAACAATTTAAATCTATGACGATTACCGGCTGAAATATTGACTGATACGAATCATCGTCAATTCCGTCGCGAAGCGGAAAGTTAACAGCATAAAACTTGCCATGACCAGCGCCAATGTCCTACAAAACACGGCGGCTACAGGATTTAGAGCACAAAGCTTGATTTCAAAATACCAACCTTCAAGTCGCCTGTTCCCGGAAAGTATTCACCATATTTATGAAATGACAAAGTCATTACTCGGTCGGTTGTGTAAAACGCTTCTTCGACACCATCACCGTGGTGACAGTCTACATCGACATAGAGAACCCGCTGATGGAACCTGTACAAAATGAATGACGTTGTTGCGAAAAACCGCCTTACACACGGGAGACAGATAGCCTTTGCACTATTACGTACTTCAGCAGTTCTAGAATAGCCAAGACGATGTCATTCACGTAGCAAAATCCAGAGGCTTCACATTTCTTCGCGTGATGCAAACCGCCAGCCCAATTGATCGCGATATCCGTATGACGCCGATTTAACTTCATCGCAGCGGCTAAAGATTTTCAAAGAGAATTCTGAATCAAACAAGCCAAGCACAACAGCTCATCAGCTGTGTAACAAAATGCCCTCTTTAACAAAACTTACCAATCGATCCTCCAGCGGAAATTGTGCAGAATTCGTACAAACCATCAAATACGGGACAGTCTTCACCCACGTTAACTGAAACTATTGCGCGTGTCACGTTAGTTACGGTAGTTGGAAATATGCAT